ACCACAATGATTATAAACGTAAATTCTAAACCACATGATGAAAATAGAAATCGTGTGAAACCATATGGAAGTAAATTGTAGTTTACTCTATTAATTTTGTAATAGAAAAATATATGTCGATCTTTTAGTGGGTGAAGTAATTTAGCACCATCTGCTAAAGCTTGAGAATTCTCGAAGGTCCTGCGTATTGAGCGCATGTCCAGGTGCAAGTAATCCGCATCTTCGCAGACATGTATATATTTGCAGCAACATTATGCTTTTTGCTGGTTGGTTTCATTATCATAAAGCCTTCATTTTATTGTAATTAGAAGAGTATTCGTGCAATACATCGAGATACATTTTGATTTCAATATTTCATTTTATTTTTTATCTCAATCGATGTTATAATATAGTCTTATGTGATTTTGAAAAAAAAATGATAATGCTTTTATTTTTGAATAAAATATAAATTTGAAAATATCATAAAAACTTGACAAAAATATATTGATATTAGTATCAAATCAACTATTTTTTTTATTATAATTTAATTTAGGTTCAATAACGAAGTAATTTATATTTGGTTTAATAATATATTTTTTTATAAAGATAATAGTTCATTATTTTGTTAGAACTCAATAATTATCCTAATTATATTTTAGATTTTTTATATTTTAAAATGAGATGTTTATCCTCTATTCAATTATGTTTATCTCCAGTTAGTTATATGAATTCAAATATAGAGTTTTAATAAATTGTATTTACGCACAATTTACTTGTAATATTAAATTTAAGTAATATGCATCAATAAATAGTACTTCATGCATAAAAAATGATTTTTAAGAGTTTTTATCAAATGTTTTATAATATAGTATAGATACATAAGATAATACATATTGAAATGTACAATACTAATTTTTTAATAGAAAATAGAATAAATATATCAATATCAACATATCATTCACGTTTACAATACTCTTTTAACATAGTTAATTAATGGATGAAAATAACAACGATTTGCAAACACGATGACAATAACAATAATTTCAAAACTAGAACGACAAAAATTGCAACTTTTGACAAACAACATGGACAAAAATAGTAATATACTCTAATACAGTATTAATTACATTTATACACAAGTTTTAAAAGTTGGTACATTAACCACAAGGGTGGTGTTTGATTGGTTTGAGCTGGCTCCAAAGGTCAAAAGTGTCAGGAGGTCTCAGGTTCAAATCCAAGGAGGAACAAGAATCTCCTTGTGACCACGGAGGTTCAAATGCGGTGACTCCGGACTATTTGCAAAGCAGATGATTGACCTGGGATTAGTCGACTCGCATAATGAGTTGGATATCCAGGTTAATAAAAAAAAGTTTGTACATTCCATTTTTTCCAGATAGAATTGCCTATCAACTAACGGGGTCTTATTTTACTGGAGTTAGGACAAATAATTTATTTCAGACTTGAATAAAAATTGTAGAGATGAGTTTATGAATTGAAACACAAAGACAATATCTGGATTTTCGATGTAACCACATGGACTAAAATTGGAGTTTACTCTACATTTAAGCCTAATTTTATGTAAAAATCTTTGTTTTTTAAAGATGTAATAGCATCTCCAATGCACTCCTTACATTCATTATTTAATTAATGTGCGGGGTCAAAACCAAAAGAAGATCAGTTAAATGCACTATCTATATTGACTCTCTACCTTAATTTGTTACTGAGACATGCGCCTAAGGAGAAAGTCTTTGCAGCCGAAGTCAGCCGAGGAGCCGAGGAGCCGAGGAGCCGAGTGATGTGCCAGCGCTACTAATTGAGTGCCAGCACGTAGCTGTGCTGTCAGTAAGAAGGTAGCTGGCGCATATAAAAAGGGATTTTCTCGCTTGGTTAGTAAAGTCATGTTTTTGGCCTTATCTTGCAGGTGACGACGACGTCGAGTCACTCCTTACGATATAATTGTATAATTTTATTAATAATCAGAAAATTTTAAAAACATTCATTAAAGTATAAAATGAACTGTTAAAACAATATGTAGCTAAAACCATCTCCAACCCTTAAACCATTTTTCTATATGAAAATGGAGTCAAGAGTGATTCATCTAACCACAAGGGTGGTGTCCTGTTTTTCCCAGAAGATTAATCAGACAAATAATTCAAGTACAGATTATTAAGAACAGTAGAAAATCAATATGAACTTCAAGTGAGAATTCAGCCAACTGTTTTTTGTATTAGAATTCAAAGCTCCAAAGTGATTAGCTACTAATTACAAAAAAGACAAAGCTATTTATACCAACAAGTTACAAAGACTAAAATTACAAAGACAATTACAAAGAAGAAATTTTGCTAAAATACAACATTAATCATATTACTTGAACCTAACATTCTCCCCCTTTTGATTTAAGCCCGAGACATTCTAAATTTTGATCTTTTAAAGCCCAAATTTGTCTCACACCTTCTGATAGCATTTCGATATTGAATCTTCTCGTCAAGTAACTCCAGAGCACTAATCAGCTAGAACCTTTCTCTCATACTCAACTGTTATGTCTTGAAGCTTTATCATCTAGAGCTTTTCTGCCTTCAAGTTTTTTCCTCACAGTCTCTATGGTTTCATCACAGTACTTAATTAGCTCGCTGAACCTTAAAAACCTTTTAGCTTTTTCGGAGTTCTCATAGATCACCCCGAACTCTGGATCTTCAAGAATCATATACAGAGGGTAGCCATCGATGTCTTCTAACTCTTGATCAGGCTTCTTCAGGTTGACATTCTCTTGATTACTTTCGTATCCCATTTGCACATCAATCACTGAAGAGAGCTTGCTATGACATCTAAGATACCTTTTGATAGCTTCAATATCTTTGACGACTCATTCCAATCTGACAGTCTGGTTCTGATCTCATGATATATGTGCTCCAAGTCTTCTAAGTATAGGTTAGGAAAGTCAGCTTCACTAAAGTTCCAAACTTGACCATCTTGTCTTGTCACATAGAACACTGGGTATCAACATTCTTGATCGAAATGATCCGATGTTTGGTTCGTACAAAATTGATAGGTTGTCGTTTTGCTTTAAGGAAATACTGGTACTCTTTGCGAATAATGTTGTTTGCATTGTAAAATGTTAATCTATATAAAAAATTAAAATAAACACATATACCATTAATAAATTAATATATCTCAATATAAAATATCATCAAAGTAAAAGAAGAAAAACTAAGGATGATCATATGATACTGTGATATTTGAGTATTCATAATTATTCTATTGATATTGAATTTGGTAATCCACATTGATGAGAAAACGATAAAGAGAAATGACGTGAGTATATGACTTCTGTTTTTTAGCCCACATTCTAAACGAAATACATTTGCATTTTATTATAAGTAAATCAACGAATCACTTTCATCTTAATTATGTTATATAATTTTTAAATAGACCAAATTCATCATTGTGAACCGCACGCAGGGAAAGACTAGTTAAAATAACACCAAAATTAAAATTCACGTAGTTTCTAGTTTTTATTTTAAACCCTTTTCTATATTATTATTTTTATTATTAATGTATAATTATTACATAAATTAATAAAAATATAAAAAACAATTGAGAACAGTAAAATAAAAGTTTAAAAAACATAAAATACAATAAATAAAATGTGAAAAAGAGACCTATTTAATATTTAAAAAAATTAAATTTTATTTTAAGATTATCTATATTATATTAATAAGCATTTAGACCAAAAGTCTTAATTACAAGTCTTAAAGCATAAAGTGCTATCAATTTATGCAAGAGATTAAAAAATCTCTTTAGTACAAACTATTATGCATAATGTACAAATTCTTAAAACATACCATTTGTTTGGTCAAAGTTTCATATTTAAGTAAGCCATATTTACGTGAAAAAGATATGTTTGGTCTCACCAAAGTTGTTTGACACTTTATTTGTTTCATATTTTGAACCCAAATTCAAATTCAAAGTTCTCATTTCTCTTGAAGTAAACTGAAATTTGAAGCAACAATATTAGAAAGGGTTTCACATCCTGCATGTACCCCATCCCTGCCCTTCAACTTTATATGGGTTTAAAAAACTTAACATGTGTGCAATTATTTTTCCAATCGATCTTGCTAATACACCATATTAATCTTCAACTTTATATATTAGTTGACTTGTAAAATAACCATACAAACTCACGATTTAAGACTAAACTAATCTATATTATATTATAAGACATTTGACAAAAACTCTTAAAAACCACTTTTATGTGTAAAGTACTGTTTATTAATGCATATTACTTAAAACTCAAGATTGCAAGTATATTGTGCGTAAGTACAACTTATTAAAGCTCCATATCTGAATTCGTGTAACTAACTGC